ACCTCTAGACAAGCAGTTTCTGGAGGCTGGGCGGACACTCAAGTGGACCTGAACCTCACCTGAGAGGGGCAACTCTTTAATTGGATGCAGGTGACCTCATCCCCCAAGGGACGCCTCCCCCCTAGACCGAGAGTGATTCATCTGTGTCTTCAGGCCTCAGCAGCTTCCTTCCTGGCAAGGAAGTGGGGGCAGGGATCTAGACACAGAGGCCAAGGCAGCTGGGGCCACCGTACAGTTCCCTAAACCTTCACTCTCGCTGCTGGTGCTCCTAGTTGACATGCTCTGTCCTCCAAAGTCCTCCTCACAGGACTCAAGGCCAGAATCTCCGCAGCATCGCTTCGCCCAGGAGTAAAAATAGCCCCCGGAGGCGAGTGTGAGGTGGGGACCACACCTAAGGGGCGGGCCCAGGCTCCAGTTGGCTTCCCCAGGCCAAGGAAGTGGGGATGGGTGCCAGGGAAACCCCAGCGAAAAGGCACACACATGGACACATAGGCACGATGCCACCGACACACAGACAAGACACCAACACACCGACAGAATGTGGGAAGGAGCGGAAGGCGGGGAGAATGTGCACCCAGGGAGACAGAACAGAAGGGAGGGGGAGGGCGGTCCTGGAGGGGACAGGCCTGAGTAGACAGGAGGGCTGCAGCCAGTGGTTTGGTGTCCAAACCCAAAGCTGAGACCCATCTCTCCTTGACCGCACCCACAGAGAGGAGAAAGAGTCTGGGGGCGCTCTTTCTTCCGTACCCACCCACCTAACCCAGGGGTCTCCTGTCCCCGTCGGGCTCTCTTCCCCTCCTCATTAGCAACTGTTACTAAACTTTAACCTCCTTCCTGCCTTCTAGTCTCTGGCTTCCCGTAACCCAACCTGCTGCTTCCTGAAAGGTCCTTCCTTCCAGTGTGCAGACAGACTCACTCCTTCCGTCCTGCCACACTCACACTCTCTCTCTCTGTCTGTCTGTGTCTCTCTGTGTGTGTCTGTCTCTTCTCTCTGTGGGCCCTTCTTTCTTTCTTAGGGCCACAGGTCCTGCCCGATTCTCCTGTGACCTTCTCAGGCCCTGGGCCGTCTGGACCCCTGGACCGCGCGCCACACCCCATTCAGCCTCTCGTCCTGAAACCCCCACTTTCCCTCCTTTAGGCTGCCGGGGTCCGCTTCCACAAACTTTTCAGGGCGAGCAGTCCAGAACTCTCGTTACCGTCTCACAAGTTTTCCCCCTCCCCCGGCGAGATAGCCCCGGGGCTGGGGGTGGGGTCGAGGAGGAGAGGGCTTGGGGAGTTAGGCTGGCAGAGCTGCGGGGAGGGGAGGGTGGCCCAAGAGAGAGGTGCTCTTACCTTCACGAACAGTTCGACCTGAGGTTGTTCTTCGGCCATGGCTGCGTCGGGGACCAGGAAGCAGCCGTCGCTGGGGGAGCTGGGAGGGGCCGGGGCCGGGAAGGCGGGTCTCACAGTCGGGATCCTCTCCTGCGGGCTCCGGGCTGGCCCTCGGCCGCAACCCCAGTCCGATCCGACCCTACGCTCGCTGCAGCTCGGCTTCCCCACCGGCTCCGTGCAC